TACCCACAATCTAGTGCCCAATTTGCTGGCATTAATTTGGATATAGAATTGATAATTGGTAATTGACATAGTATTTTTATTAATTAGCTGGACATCTATAAAATATGATCATCAATTGATAATTGATAATTATTGTGGGACATAGTATAAGAATAAAGTAGGTTATTAGCCTCATTTCATGTTCTAATGAATCGTTCTTCATGATTATTACTAAAAATACAAGCAAAAGAAATGATAGTCCTTTGACAGTCAATACGATTGGATACTATTACTTTTTGTTATTAAATGATCATGACAATAATAAGCTTTCAGAATTTCAAATAGTATGGAAGCTGATCATCACAATCAGTAATTTGCAGCTTCATCTCTCTCATTCTGGGTCCTTTCCCACAAAGACAACCACTTTGAACTTTTTCTGTTTGTAACTGTTTGAGTAGTTCCTACCATATTTTTAAACGAAGGTTAGAAACGATCTCTCTGAATTTTCTTGTAGGTAAAGACTTGACTTACTTATTAGGCCAAGTAGTGAATTAGTATGCCATGTTTGTCTCTTTTCTAGTGTAACTTGTATATCCTGCCTCATTTTTCCACTTGAACAATTTTTTACAAATCCTTATTTTTTTCCCATGAGACCATTCTATACTTACATTATGCATATCCTCTGTATATTTTAAAAGTAATCTCTCAGCATAATCTCATGCTTGTGTTATTTTTTTCTTTTGAGAATTACTTCTTAGGTAGACTGGTTGTTTTGTAGACATGTGATAGAGTGACTGTCCCAGAACTTACCTTTTTTCTGCCTTTGCTTTGGAACTAAATCCTTAGTCAGCACCCTAAGGCTCCAGTTTACTTACTGAAAGTCTCAGGGTTTGTCTGATGCCATAACAATCATTCTTCTTCTCCATATACTGCTAATTGCTTGTTTCTCTGGAGAACCTTGGTAATATCTACTAGCTGCTTCGACTCCTTTAACACAAAGGACTTCTCTCCAGACCTAACTGAAATTTTTGTGCATTCACACTAGAGAACTGTATGCATTCCCCACTTCACATCCTGCTAGTCTCCCAATTATCTGGCTTTGGTCTAGTATTACATATAAACTGTGCTCATAGAGTTCCTGTATTCTGGGGGGTGACCCTTTTGACTAGTTTTGATGATTTTCTGTTGCAACCAGCTATACCATTGCCTTATTGAGAGCAGACACACACAGAGCAGGTGTGATTCAAGCTCTTCTGTTTTGGTGACTCAGTTTCACTGTCCTATCCACCTTGTTTGACTTATGGAATGTCAGCACCTAGCATAGCTTTAAACCTTCCTTTTGCTAGGATTATTTGCCTGCATTTGGAAGAATACTTTGAATTTTGAATGAAGGGCCAAAGGTATAATTAAGTGAGTAGACTTTGATTGGTTTTAATTTTCACTGGAGTTGGTGGTAGCCTATACTCGTTTGCTTCAGGCCAGATATTTTCATCATGAATATTTATTTATGGAAGATGGAGAATCTCAGTGAAGATGATCCTTTGAGCTTTGCAATACAAAATTGAATAAAAGTCTCACAACTCATATTCATTCAATTTTATATTATAAAGTTCACAGGTTTTCTTGTAAAGCAATGAAATAAAATCTACCTGTCAGTGGTGCTGCATTGAGAGATATTAGCCCAAAGCATCCAGTGTCTTGCATTGGCTTATCTAAGTGTTATTCACACTGGGGGATTTCCCTGGCAGCCTGCTCTGTGCTCAAAATGTTATCTTCTCTCTTTATCTACTTCTCATCCCACATTGTCATGAAATAAATTACTTTTGCCAGAGCTTTTTATTCAATAATGTATTGAGGGAAAAAAGATTTAGACAATGAATAGAAACAGGGCACTTGCGCTATATAATAAGAATTATAGAGAGCTTCTGAAGTTTCTTTAAAATAATATAATAGTTTATTTTTCCATCATTTTGTGCCTTTTTCCAACTCAATTGTAATCCACATGGGTTCTGAAGTATTTTTTTTAAGGGTCTGTGTATTTATTTATTTACTATACTTTCATCTGAATTTATTTAAGTTTTTAGCTGCAGTAATATTGGTTCACAAAACTGTATATGATTTATGGGAATAGGTTCATACCTTCCCAGATATATGGTACCACATCACACCTACCACCAAAGCACCCTAGTCCTTCCTAATAGTCCTTTGAACCTCCCCCTCCCCCAAAGGGATGTTTGTAGCTGATTGATTAGAAGTCAACCCATTGTTTTCATTGGCAGTGTATCATATATAATAGGATAAGAAAGTTACTGAGCCACTGGCTGGAATACGGTCTGCATCAAATTATTGTACTCATGTAGCAACTATGAGATAAGGCAACACAAATAAATATTTCAGTGATCAGTTCTTCCAGAAAGGAATGAATACATAGTGTTCAACTACAGTTAAACTACAGTAAAGAAAACTTTGTACCACCAGCTGTCTTGTACACTGGCTTGATACATATTGGCCATTCCTAAGTGACCTTAGTGTCCGCTAGATATTTCTGTCTCATCTCCCCATGGGGCTATATAAATGAGTGTGGGCTCCATGTGAGGAGTTTTCTAGCTAATGTAGTGCTAGCCTTAAGAATTGGTTCTTTAAATTTGAATTATCTTGAAAGCAGTTTTCATACAGTTGTCTATATGAATTTAGTATCTGAAGAGAAGGCTAAAAATCACCCTATCTGTAAAGATGACTCTTATTGTGTGTCATGAAACAGCAGGTCGCTGTACCACCTTATGATCTCTGACATAGTGGCTCTGGGTGGCACATGAGTGATTTTCTGCTCCAACAGCTGATCGCAGATCACCGTGGTTTTTGAGCTGTCAGTGTTGATTTTTTTATTTTGTTCCTCCATGTTGGTTGCTATTGGGTCAACACTGTGCATGCCTCTGGCATCTTGTCTCTAGCTCCTGAACACTTCTGATTTACTGTGTTTGTAAACCTTGGAGGTGATCTTGCTCAAATGTATTTCAGTTAAGTATTGGCTCACAGAAAGAAAAGTAAAAACACTGGGTGGTTTCACTCATAGCAGGAGCATAAAGGACCGGGGTGGGGGTGGGGGCGGAAAATAATGAACAACTATATACCAGAGACATTTTATGGGGTGGAGTGAGGAATGGGATCAAAAATGGGGGTAGGGGGAAAGAAGTGCACAGGACTATGGTGATGGCACATGGGTGATTTGGTGATGGGAAACCCATGGGATTAAAACTGAAATGGAAAAAGGTACAAAATGATGTAAAAATAAACTATTATATTAAAAAATAAAAAAAAAAGAATTGACTCAGAGGCATGTCTTCTGGAGGTGAGTTAGTTGTAGAGTAGGTACTTTTATGAATGAGCCTTGAGTAGTCAAAGGAAATATAGTTCATTTTACCTCTTCAGTTTCTCAGATAGGTGTTTAGATGCTTTCATTATTCATTGATTTTTTGCTCTGTGCTCTGTGCTAGAAATATATGCAGTTGAAGTGAATATTGTGACTGCTGCTAGACTCTATTCTGGGGATAGATAAATCGATACGATGCAGAACAAAAGAGAGACTGTATAATGGAGGTGTTAGCATCATATGTGGGCTTGGGGGGAAGAAGAGTTAGTATGAATTTGCCCTAATTTGATGGAAGATATTGTGTTGGATTAGAAGGAATAGTGTATTCCTGGAGAGACAGTGTGGAATGGGGAAGATGTCCCAGGTAGAAGTAAAGAGCAAGCACATTTGGTCAAACAAAGTGTGTGCTGAACGAATGAGGTGTAGAGGAGCATAAAACATCTATGGTGGGTATCTTGAGGCACAGATTGAATCCTATTACTCAAGTATGTTTATAGAGTTGGCTTTCCACATTGAATTGGTGACTTTGTAATAAGAATTTTAGTGCACACAAATCCTAGGATAATAATTCTACCTTGTGTGTGTGAGTTACCTGATTAAGAGCTTCTTCTTCACTCTTTATTTCAGTGTTCATACCTTAGTATAGTTGAACATATATCTCCTTCTGTTTTGTTATCCTTAAAACATTATCTTCCTTTAAGAAACATTCTTTATATCCTTATTGTTTTTATAGCTCTTAGAAGATGGGGAAATTTCTCTGCTCACATTGTATGAAAACACGAGTTTGAATGTGAAGTTCACATTAGTTTTTCTTAAGAGGTCTATACAGCCTTTTACATAACAAGAATTTTGTATTAGAGGACCGCCACTGGGACTTTCTTATCCAGAGATTTTAAAAAATTTTCTATTGAAGTAATATTGTATTATAAGATTAGCATTTCAGGAATGCATTATTCTGTTCAACATCTATATACGCTATTTTAATCTAATCACTAAATGACCTATCCTTCACTATGTATTTGACCACGTTTACCTAATTTGTTTACTCACTCTCATCCTTCACACCTTTTGGTAACCACTCATTTAGCTTTATATCTAAAAGTTTATTTTTGTGTTATTTAGGTCATCTGCTTGCTTCCTTTTTCTGTCTACCACACAAATGAAATAATTTTGCTTTTTTCTTTCCTTGTCTGACTTATTACACACTAAGTATAACCTCTTAATCTATCTAGGTTGTTGCAAATAGCAGAGTATCCTCTTCATTCCTGACTAGTATTCCATTTTATGTATATACCACAACCTCTTTACCCAGTCATCTGTTGATGGATACTTAGGTTGTTTCTAATGCTTTTCTATTGTGAATAATGCTATAGTAAACATGGTGTGCATATATCTCTTTGATTTAACATTTATGTATTCTTTAGGTAAATCCCCTAAAGTGGAATAAGTGGATATATAGAATTTCTGTTTTTATAGTTTGAGGACTCTATACTTCTTTCTATATTGGCTGTTCCCATTTATGTTCCCACCAACGATGTGCAAGGTTCTCTTTGCTCTAACATTTTTGTTATGAAATCACTTGTAAAATATTTTCTTGTATTTTGGAATTTAAATATATAACTGACTGCATTATTTTTCTTTGTACTTACAGTACGGCCAAGTACAGTGTGTTGACATTTCTACCTCGATTCTTATATGAGCAGATTAGAAGAGCTGCTAATGCCTTCTTCCTCTTCATTGCCTTATTACAGGTAATGTTATTTTTTTTTAACATCATTTAAAATTCATAATTTTAACTACATGCAAAATGAGATTTTTCTAAAAGGCCCCTGAATGAATATAATTTGCTTGCTTCATTCACTCATTGTGTGCATGAACAAATGGATCTTTGTATAGAGGGAGATTTCTTTTGGCATTGCCTTAAGGATAACTGCAGTGACTAAAAAGGGACTCTGAAAAATTGCCTTAGGGTCATACTTTTAACTGCTTTTCTGTTCCAAACACATGGTGCTATTGAATAAAAATCTGAAAACCAGTTTTAAAATAAGGTAATTGTTTTTGTGAAATAGAGATAGAATGGAGCTGCAAAAGAGTGAGGGCTGGTGAGTGCTGTTTTCTTTTTATCTTGCAGCAAATTCCAGATGTATCTCCAACAGGAAGATATACCACCCTGGTGCCATTGATCATTATTTTAACAATCGCAGGCATCAAAGAGATTGTAGAAGATTTTGTAAGTTTTTGCTTTTAGATCATAAAAACATTTCATTGAATATAATCTATAACTAACATGTTACTTTGTTTTTTTGTTTGTTTTTTTTGAAATAGGAAATTGGTCTTTTGCTTAACCTGTCTGTTTTGTGATGTTATCTCTGGGGAGGAAGGGTTTACACACACTGTCTTATGTACCTGAGCAATGACACAGAAGTAGTTCAGACTACTTATTTTCCAATGTTAGGTCACTATGTCCTTTTGAATTTTATCACTGATATTTCTTATACTCTCCTTTGGAGCTTGTGATTCGGGCAGGAATGAAGGACTCTATTGTTGTGTTGCACAACAAAATCTTCCCCTTCTTTATACTTAAGTTTAGTGTATCTATGGTAAGTTTATTGTCTACAAACATATTCACATATTCATAATCTTTTTTTTTTCTTTTCTTCATTTCTCTTCCCTGTTCTTTTTCTCTCATCTTCCCTTGCCTCACTATCTGTTCTGTCTCCTCGCTGACTCTCCTTTTTTCTTCCTCCTTCTCTCTCCATGCTTCACCTCCCTCTTTTTTAAGAATTTATGTACTTATGTATATGAAACTGGGGTACAGCCCAGAGGTGCAGGGGCTGTGAGAGGATTCACTAGACACAGAAAGGGAGCAGAACAGGCAGACAGATGAAGTACATTTCTAAGGGGAGCAGTGGGCAGGTCACGAGAGGTCTGTGCCATGTGGGTCACCTCCTGGGGCGGGGATCGAACTCGCTCTGAAGCGGCTACTATTCGCTGGCAGTGCTGCGCTTTAACCCACTGCTCCATGAGGGAGCGCCCTCACCTCCCTCTTTTACACACACACACACACACTTTCAGTGTATGTACAATCTTCTGTGACAAGGCAAATGTATTACTGTAAATATAAATCAAAGCAAAGGCATTTTTTGTGCCCCAAATTCTTTTTCAAAAAGAGTTCAGGCCCTTCCTGTTGGCACAATGGGTTAGGATGCAGCACTGCAAGCTAGTGGCAGCTACTTTAGTGTGAGTTCAATCTCTGGCCCTGGAGGTGACCCACATGGCAGCAGACCTCTCCTGACCTGCTCTCTGCTCTCCTCAGCAATGTACTTGTCAGTCGGCCTGTTCTGCTCCCCACTCCGTCTCTGGTTATGCCTCTCATTGCCTCTGCACCTCTGGCCTGTACCCCAGTTCTGTATGTGTAAATAAATAAATCTTAAAAAAAAGAAGTTTCAAAAAATCTAATTAAAAAATTAAATTATATTTTGTTGGGTGAATATCAGATTTTACTCTTACTGTATTTGTCTCCCAAATCCACTGAGTGATGCATGTTCACAGACTCTTGAGCTGAACTTCATGGAGTCAGTATAAGTGGCTGTTGGTTTCCTTATCCTCAGTATTTTCCTAGTATAATTGTTGCTGTTTCAATTACCCATTTGGAACTTTTGAATCTAAGAACTTTTTCTTTTTGTAACAGAAGCGACATAAGGCAGATAATGCCGTTAACAAAAAGAAAACGATAGGTAAGAAACAAGGCTGAATGATTTTTCCATTATATAACCTTAGATTGCCAGCATTAAGGAATCCTAATTGAGTAGTTAATGGTACTGATTTAATTGGGGGCAAATGATCTATAAAACACTTGAAATAAATTACAAAATGACAAATTCAACCCAAAATGTGAGGCCTGGCAACTGAAAAAAATTGTGTATTTTAGAATTTAGTGAAGGTTTTAATTTTGGGGAGCTAGACATAAAAAGTTCAAGCACATATATCCTTGGCTTATAAGTTGCTCCCTAACTGTATTTACTTTTTATTCTATTTAATTTCTAGAATATTAGCTCTGCATTGTTGTGAGTTTTTATATTTATTTATTTACTATTAGTAATTGTAATAGCAGAGTGATTTTTTGATATTCTGGGCTAATTATCAGTAGATTTGGCTTATATGCACATAAAGACACACACTGATGTGTATGTAGTTAGATATGGGACATAGGTATGTAGATTAGAACTCCATTTTGTGTTTAAGGGTCTGGTAAGCTGGAACCAATAAATGGAATTATTAACCTTCGAAAGCTTATTTCGATTATCACTAATATTAATTGATACTTTTTTTTTTTTTTTGAACAGTGTTAAGAAATGGTATGTGGCAGACCATAATGTGGAAAGAGGTAAAAACTAATCTGAGGACATTCCAAAAAGTATGTTTGCAGACTTGTGATTAATTGCCAATCTGCAGTTGTTTGTAGTATGAAGTTTGTGTTATGACATAGATCATCTCCATTTGATGAGAGTTTAGATTGTGGCATTTTCTCATGAGGTTTACGGAGAAAAGATGCCTGGTTTTCTGTTCTCTGTTTTTTCTACAGGATGCTTACTTGGTCATTTCTGGATTGTGAAATCCTGGTGTATATTTCTGAAACCTCAAAGCATTGTCTGGTTTCTAAATACACGCAAGAAACATTTTCCTTGTTCTTGTGATATTCAACTAAATTCCATTCTTAAGTATTTTATTTTGCCACTTTTGAGATCTTCTAATATTTTAAGCGGAAGGTCTTGGCTTTGTGAGTAAATGGAAAGTGGTGGAGACGGATTAGAAACCATGCTAGTTTAGTTCCAAGGCAGAAGTGTGACCAATCGTTGTTCTTTACAATAGGTAGAAGGATTTATCCCCACAACCCTGTAAGTATGAGGTTTGAAGGGTTTTAGAATGTTTTTTTTTTTATCATGATGAATAGAAAATTCTTGAGATTTATATTATGACATCTGGGACTCTTTAAAGTCATTCACTCTTTTGTCTTTCACTATTTCATTGACTGAGAACAATGGAATTTACATGGTGTTATTAAATAGTGTATAAAAACCATTATTCCAGATAAGCACTGAAACTGTAACCTGAAGCGCTACAGCTCAAGTCAGCAACCCCCTGGTGGTGTCTGCTGAGCGGTGTGTTTGTGCATCCTGACAGCTGCAGGTGATTGGACGAGGACCTTGGCACTTTTCAAAATTAGAGCCTTGAGAAAGCCCCTGAAGCGAGAGCAGATTCAGGGATCTGGAGGAAGCTTTTTCCACCTGAAGAATCCTTACTCTAGGTTGTTTTACCTAGGGGGTGGACATCCTAAGAACAAATAGAAGACCATTTTCAAACAAAATTCCTGGTACTTGAAAGCTGGAAATGTTCTATAACTGGGATATGTTTCTTTCTTTAGATAGCAAAGATAGGAGAGAGCCTCCATTTTTCTTGTCCTCTCACTTTGAATTTAAAAAAAAAAGTTTTTTTCCCCCTTTGGAAAACATGACTAGTTCATTTTTTTTTTAACCAATTGCTTCAGAGTTTTTATATGTAATTAAATGGTTCACATGACATTTCAAATTTTGTAAGTATCCCTTGCATTTTTACTAATGATTTTGAAAATAACTTTGTATCATTCTTTGACTTTTCTTTATTATAGACTGCACTTTAATGATATATCCTCATTTTGATTTTTAATTGAATGCTAACTTAAAATGTACAGTGATTCTGGAATTTAAACTTTACCATCCTTCCTGGTACTAAACCAGATTGCTTAGGCCTCCCCATACTTTATAAGTGATTTTAAGCACCAGTAGGACCCATTTTAATCATATAATCTCTCCACGATTATAAGATCCAGTAGTTTCTCACAAGGGTGACACCATCTGAAATTATTTGAAATCATTTGTTATTGAAATAACTTAGCCCTCTATCATTACGTGAGTTTCAGGCATGTATCATTAAAAATCAACAGAGGTTAGAGCAGTAATAGCAATCACAATATTCACTTTGGAAATTTTTGTGCTGTCCTTGAAGGGTCACTGTGCCCTTTCAGTTACACACTAGCTCTTGACCCAGGCCTGCTTCCTGTCAGGTCATGTGCATACCTCCTCTCAGCCCCAGGGCAAGTGGTGATGGTAGTAGTTTCCCATTTCATAGGAGGACACTGGAGCTGAGAGGTGGAGAGCTTGCCAGGATCCCAGAGGCTGTTGATGTCTCTGAACCTTGGTTTTGAACCAAGACCTTCCTGATTTGAAAGCCCATTTTCTGCCCAGCCTGACCCTTCTGTGATCTTGTTGGAAGGTTTTAGAAACCCTTGACTGTGGTGCTCATTGTCTGCAGTCTAGGACCTGTTTCCTCGTCTTGGGCACTTTTATCCACTTTTTTCCCCCAAAGTGATCTCAGACTTAGGTCATGATCCCTTTTTCTGGCATTTTCTAAAGACTGAAAAATCCATTTTATCAGGTATATTTCTGGAGGATCTTTTGGATGCACTGTTTATGGCTGAATTTAGAATTTCATTTTAATCAGCTTATTGGCAGTATTGCTTGGTTTTGAATCCTGACTCTCTGTGACCTAGATTAAATATTTCATTTAAAAAATGGAGAAAATTTGTGTGTATTAACTCTATGGAGTCTCACAAACCTTCATGAAATATATTCCTTATTTGACCTCATCACATAGGTGAGAAAGTTATGTCATTTGCCGATGATTACAGAGTGGGGACGGAGTCCAGCAAGAGATTTGCTGGTTTCAAAGCCAGACCTTATCCCTCTGTCATACTGCGTATAGCCACGGCCATGTACAAGGCTTTGAAGACGGATGAATAGTCACAAAGCAAGGGAGACCTTGAATAATTGTTCTGACTGGTCCTTTTTCTTTTTTATATTCGTCATTATTATAAGAAAGCCATATTACCACTTGTCTAGAAAGAAACATTTCCTTTCTAAGTCTTGTCAAGGAAAATAATTTGGGCCTCTGTGTTAAACTTCACAGCATAGTTAGATAGTAATTTTTCCATCAAATATTTAAACACTTCATCACTGGTGCTTTTTTTCTTTCATCCTTCCTCTCTCCATGACCCTGGTTTCCTAGGTGACGGTGGGGGACATTGTGAAGGTCATCAATGGACAGTATCTTCCAGCAGACATGGTCCTGCTCTCCTCCAGGTCAGGTGTGCTACTGGGCACATTAAAAAAAATATTAAGAACAATACAGAATGAAGTGGTGAATGCAGAAATCTGAAGCTACCTTCCCTCCCCTGCTGCATTGTCCTATCCTTGTGTCTAACCTGTTTGTCCACCACTTGTCATTTGCCTTTCCTGCTTTAACTACTAGTTTTCTTTCTCCCATCATTCCTTTCAACTTTTTCTGAGCTCTTTTACATTTATTTAACTTATACTCTTGTAGATACTCCTGCTAGTTCTTATTTAATGGGAAATATTCAACAGCAATAAGGGGCTTTGCTCAGTAATGCCCAGGTGGCAACACACAGGAGACTTCAGAACTAGTTCCCCATGGGGTCTCCCAGCTCTTTCCTGTAGAACACAGCGTCTCCCTTTACTAGCTGTTCAGAGACCCATAGCATTTCCCAGCCCTCTATAACCTGCAGACGGTGTTTCTCTTTGCCCACACTTTGGTCCTTTCTGCCCCTGTCTCTTTGGCATGTTTTCTAGATAGTTCTATGCTAGAACAGTGTCATCACTAAGTGGCACAGATAATGGTCAATCTCTCATCGGCTTACCCTTGTCTTAGTACACAAAGGTACATATCAAAGAAGTAAAGTTGAAATCAGGGCATGGATAAACTTTTAATCTCAGGCTCAAGATTAAATGATTTAAGAGGGAAGACCTTTTTGTATTTATATGTTGTTAGGAATCATAGGTGTGCACACAGTTTTCATTTTCTTTGTTTATGGACAGTATTTCATTTATTGGGCTCAATACCTCAGAGTTTAAGCCTTCACCTGAACTTTGCCGGTTTCAGGTAAAAGGTTTGAAAACTAGGACCCCAGGACTACTCATGGGGGATAGTACTATATGTTGGGCTAGGATTCAGTTTTGATTTGTAACAGAGAAATTTTAGAAATAGTAAAGTATTAATTGCTTGATAGATGTGGTCTTAATTTGAAATTAATAGTTGACAGTGAAGTTCTATGTCCAGGATCAAGATATGTTTGAGAATGTTCTTGGTGCCAAGCAGCCTGCTGCATATTATTCCATTTAACCTTACTCGCACCTCTTGTTATTCTTACTTTTTACTTCGAGAAAACAGACACAGAGAGATTAAGCAACTTGCCATGGCCAAGTAACCCATAAAGGTAGCTCGAAGAAGTTTTAACTTAGTTGATTACAGAGATCCTCTCTTAACCACTAACTACCTCAAACTGTAGATTAGTAGTAGGAAAATATTGGTTTATTTTTATTCTTTGCAATAAATAAATAAATAACTAATAAAAAGTGAAGAAAAGCCTTGCATATCTCTGCCTTGATTTCTTAGCTCTTCTGATAACAGTTTTGTTCAAAGATGTTTTTATCCTGGCCATGTCTGTGGTGATGACACTTTTGGTCAGGAGCAGACTTTGGGGTCATCCCAATACAGTAGTCTTAACTGGTACATCAAATGTTCCTATAACACACCCCTCCCTTCTCATTCATCTTCAGTTATCTAATTGAGGTCAGGCAGGCATGATAGGGAGCCTAAAAGGACAAATAACCTGGCAAAACAGTTTTGTGTGAGTGTTTGTCTTTCTACTCAGTTGCTGTTACAACAGTGGTTGTTTATAACATAATTTTGAAGAACTGGTGAGCAGATATAGTTTCTATAGTCAGCGCATTCTAAACTATGAATTTATGGAGAGTACTTCACTAAACTATCTGTTTTTCCTCTCCAGTGAACCTCAGGCAATGTGCTATGTCGAAACGGCTAATCTAGATGGGGAGACGAACCTTAAAATACGGCAGGTAAAGTTACCTTTTATACCTAGTGGTTATGGAGGCCCAATTTAAAATTTAGTTCCCAATTTGGTTCTCTGCTTTCACTCAAGGGAGAGCTACTCCTTGTGGGTCATTCCTTAACTCTGCTAGAATGTGCAGGAAGAACAGACCTTTTACTAGGAAGAACATTCCTGGAAAGTGAGAGCAAGGTTAGAAGTGGGCTCGATGAGGTTTGGTTCTTGAAGTGTATCATGTTGTAATTTATATCCTACCAATTCTTACCTGTCAGTGCAGGTAAGGAGATCCTCAGAGAGGCTGGGCTGGGTGGGGAAAAGACAGCACCTGCAGTGGAGAGCTATAGTAGGTAAACGCTAGGGGCCTAAGCTTGTCATTATTGTTTTAGCTGTTTTAATTCGAGAGAGTAGTACATTAGATATAACTTTAGCATGCTTAAAAAGAAGCTATTCTTAGTTATGTTTAACTCTAAAGTCTTTAACATAATAAAAAATGAAGCATTTGACATTTAAATTTTCCGCTGCATGGTTAAATTTGATAAGTCCATCTTCATATCTTTCTTTTCTTAGATACTTGTTATTTTCATTTTAAAGAAGAATCACTGAATGTGAGATATCCTGTAAAAGGGACATAGTACTCTATTTTTATGACCCATATTGGAATAGCTAAGAGAATATGCTTTCTTGAAGGTGTTTGAATTTGTTAATTGTTACAGAAACATGGATGTTTCTAGCACAGAGGTCGAATCTGAATCTTAACTTTCTGCTTCCTTGGAGTTTCTGGAAATTTTGCATTATGTTGCTGTGACAAAAGCTGCCTGTAAAGTCTCTTTTCAAGGAGTGATGGTTTGATTTGTTGTTTTAGTTGATTTGTTATTTACTTTTTATTATAATGGGGATACTGAATGTTGTCCCTAACCCTGGAAGATTGTATTCAATTTCCTCTTTGGTTTAACATTTTAGGGCTTGAGTCACACTGCTGAAATGCAAACAAGGGAAGTGCTGATGAAGTTATCTGGAACTATAGCATGCGAAGGGCCCAATCGTCATCTCTACGACTTCACGGGAAACTTGAACTTAGATGGGAAAAGGTATCGCTTTCCCTTCTCTTAGTGTTTTTATTCTGGGTTTATTTATTTATTTAAGTGGCTAAGAATTTTTTGAGCACTGGAAAGTTGAAGCTTGTTTTCTAATTTCATAATAGCTTAAAGTAGTGAGATTTCTTCACAGTTAATATTGGACCTGATAGACTCAGCTTTTCTTGACTCTCTACATCAATCCTTTTTTTTTTTAACCTTCCCTTAAATTTAAGGAAAGAACTGATTTTTATCCAGAGACTATTTTTGTCAAGAACCTCTCCAGTGAGGTTCACAGCACTGGCTGTGTGGTGTATGTGTGTGTGTGTTTGTGTGAGAAGTATATATTATCTGCTAGCGAGAGGTGGTTTTGGCTATATAAATTGTCCAGAAAAGCAGAAGAGATGTGTTTGAGGTGTCTGAAAGCTAATAAACTTATTAGAGACATGTCCATCTTTTTTGCTGTGTCCTTCCTTAGTAGTACTTTTTCTGCTTATAGAAACTTGAATGAAATGAAAGGCAGTTACTCTTCCTTTAGGATAGTCCCTACCATGTTGTCTCTATCTGTTGTCTTTGTCCTCTTGGCATTTGTTTTATGCTTTGGGAGTCATCTTTATGGCCATTCTGTGTTGGATTGCAGTTTCTCTTTTCTGGCCATTTCTATCTGCATGCTTCTTCCCAATGCTTCTTACCTTTCTATTTTGAGTGGATCCAAAGCATAGGGACCAGATCAACCCAAAATAGTTATAAGAAGTAATGTGATGACTTTCTAGATTTGCATGTAGTATTCAGAACCCAGAGCCAGTCTGTAGACTTCCCATTTCATATTTTTAAATTATCATCTAGACTTTTATTTAATCCTGAAATCATTATTGAAAAATGTGATATTATAGCTTTTTTTTTTCTTATAATAGTCTATAAAATAAACTGGGATTCCCAAATGATTAAACTTCCAGTTACTTTAGCAATTTCCTTTTGGGTGTTGAGTTTTATAACCAGGTTCTAAATTACATAATCCCCCCTAACATTTTATAGGAGAAAACCCACCTTTATTTTTCCGCAGTGATAAGTGATCAAGATAAATCATTTGTGTGGGTGCACTAAGCCAATAGTATCTTTAATTGCCCATTTCTCAATGAAATGGTTAAAATTTGACTAAAGGAAACATTTGCTATATTGTGGGTTTATGATTAAGGGGAAAGCTTAAGCTAATTTTTCAGACTTTCATTAAATATAAATGTTGTTTCTTATTTTTAGCCCTGTTTCCCTTGGGCCTGACCAGATCTTATTAAGAGGTACACAGCTTAGGAATACTCAGTGGGTCTTTGGCATAGTTGTTTATACTGGACACGACACCAAACTCATGCAGGTAAAACATTTCTATCCTGAAAACAATGCTGATTTTAGTCCTTTTTTTCCTGTTTTATGTAGTAGCATGTTTAGGAAGCTGAAGTTTGACTATGAACCTACATTTTTGCTTTTTAGATATTTCTTCCAAATTTCTGTTATTGTTTGAAGTAGTTTTACCATATGCTAGAATTATCAGTGGTCTTGTTTTACACATTAGAGGAAAATCATTTCTAGTCTATTTTCTTTTATAGTCAAGGGGGGGATTATTCTAATTTTGTTATTTCTCTCTATTTATCTTCCTCACTCCACTCATTGGGATCTTACAGTCAATTGTCTTAATTAACAGAATTATAGGCAATTTAAAATCAATTATTTTGAACTAAAATATTTTTTCTTCACAGACCAACGAAAAAAATTAAGTTAAAATGATTGCGTTCTTTCTTCCTGTTAATATATTTCAAAAAACTATCTGCTAATTTACATTCCATTTAAAATAACAGCTAAATTATATTATGACATATTTTATCATATAGCTTTTCAAGTGCTGCATAAATCAGTGTTTTGAATGCGATTTCTTACCTTTCTTTGGTCTCATTATTTTGCTAATGGTTGCTGTTAGTGAGAATGGGCCTTTGTCTTTTGTATTTCTAAGTATGTATTTGGTTTTTTCCTTAATTAAAAGCATTTTGTGATCATTATATACCAAGTCTTGTGTTAGGTCATATGGATACAATAGGGAAAGACCCAGCCTGTTGTCCTCAGAGAGCATGGGGACTAAGGAATAGTAAGGAGTTACAAATTTGTGATATGTATCATTACAAAGCACTGTAATTCTGTACAGATGGGTCAACCAATCAGTGTTGGAAAATGTCAGTTACCTAGATACTAAGAATGATTCCAAGAAGTATATTTTCGAGGTAGAGTTAGGAAAGGGAGGCTATTAAAATGTTCCACTCTTTGAGGTCAAGTGACACAGGAGGAGAGAATTAAATATTTATTAGAACAAATGAAGACATAGATTCTGACATCTCCAGCAACTAATACAATACAGTGCAGGCAGGGCAAGGAAGTGGGGAGGTTAGGAGGGTTGAGAGAACCATCAGAGTCAAAGACTGTTGGAGTTGCTGAGTGACAGAATGATCAGTGTGTTGGGTGCTGGTTTTTGAGTTTTGGGGTACAGCATTTATAGAGTAGAAAGATCTGAGAGTTAACCATGGAAGTAGGAAGTCAAAAGTAGAGTTGGTGAAGGCCATTTGTCAGTGAGAAGCAAAAAACTGAGATGACAACCTTTGATGGCTTGTGCTGTGATTCTCAAGGTAAACTCATGGCAAGACTGGGAAAGAGATAGATGCTAGAAGCCTATTGCTCAAATCTTCAGGGAGAGACTGAGAGGTTAGCTCGTGGAGCTTCTAAGGGAAGACACTGAAAGCAGTATAGCTAAGTAGCATGAATTTTACTAGTGGGTTTTTATACATGACATTTGAGGAGTAAAGTGGCAGAAGTAGTTCCAGGTCCTGCATATAACCTTAGAAATACTGGCTTCAGTATTTCAAATAGAGGCTTCAGGAAGAATATATCTTCAGTTGGGTGAGGCGAGGAGTAGGAAGTGGGGTGAGGACTCTGGGAATTTTTTTTTAAGATTTATTTATTTACTCATACAGAACTGGGGTACAGGGCAGAGTTGTGGAGGGTGAGAGGATTCACCAGGGACAGAGTAGGGAGCAGAACAGGCAGATAAATGAAGTACACTGCTGAGGGGAGCAGCGGGAGGGTCAGGAGAGGTCTGCCACACCATGTGGTCACCTC